AAGTCAAACCAAACACGGTCTACGTCACGATAAAGTGATTTACTCCAATAAACATGGCCAATAACACAATGGAGTTCCTCTAAAAAGCTTGGGACCACAAAGGGTTTAGAATGAATACTAGGGGCTAAAATGTCCTATGTTAGAAAGGTTAAGGACCCAAAATATTAGTAACCCCTTAATAAAAACTACTATTTTTTTTTGGTACATAAGATGCTAATTCAAAGCCTAAACTCTAAGGAACATGGTCCCCACAGCATCTCCATGCAAGAACATAAAAACTACGATGAAATCATGGAAAATGTAATTTGATTTGGCCCGAAATAAAAATAAAAGTAGACTTATAAGATATTTTTTTTATATTAATTTTTTTATATCCAGTAATCATATTGAATATGATTAATTTAAAATTAAATTATGTTAAATCTTAATATGAAAAAGTTTTCTTAATATTTGTTTTTTTATTCACAAGATTCGAACTCGGTACTTTATTTTAAAAAAAACTAAACTTCTTTCACAGAATCAATATATCTTTAATAACTTATAAGTTATTAATATGAGTAGAAAAAAACTTGATTTTCATTAAATAAAATTTGATATTGGAAACTTCAGTCCTACAAATTATTCGGTTAAAATAAATAGAAGTAGAGAACTAAAAGCGAAACCACAATCAGGCCCTTCAGCAGGGACGGAGCCAATGCAGGACAAGAGGGGAGGAGGGGGGCTCCCCCGTAAGCTTTTAAAAATTTTCAAATATGGTACACTAATTTTTATTTTTTACAAAATTTTGTTTTTTGAGGTTTTGAATTATTGTGATCATTTCAAATATAAAAGAAATACTTAGGATTTAGGTAAAGGAATTATTTCTTTGTTTGTGATTAATTTTTAAGATATGATAATTTGGTTGAGGTAAGAAAAAATATTAAAAAACAGTCAACATCTAATTAATTACATTAATATAATTTATATAAGTTTTTACATTAGTTATATATAATTTTTTTGTACAATTTATATATTATGAAAATAATGTTAAATTTATTCTATTCATATAAATCATATATTTCAAATTTAAAGTTGTTTTGATATAATTTTTTTGTACAATTTATATATTATGAAAATAATAATTAAATTTATTTTATTTATATAAATCAAACATTTTAAACTTAAAGTTGTTTTGATAAAAGAACCCATTTAAAAAATTAAATTATATTTTTATATTATTTATTTTGATATAATTGAATTTTTATACTGTTATAAAAATTAATTTAAATTATATTAAGGAAAACTAATAAATAACTCATAAAAAAAAAAAAATTTAACCTTTCCCCTCGCCCCCCCAAACTTCAATTTCTGGCTCCGTCCCTGCCCTTCAAACTCTTTGTTTTCATAATCAGGCATAGGCCAGGCCTCAACCCAGATCACATCACATTAATTCTACGACGCCCATCGCCATAAGCTCAGAGCCTGACGGTCGTAGTGGTGGTGGTGAATGGAGAACGCCGATGTCTTCCTTGGTTTGCACGACTTTCTGGAGCGGATGCGCCAGCCATCCGCTGCTGATTTCGTCAAGTCCATTAAAAGGTTCCCAAATTCACTCCTTTTGATTCTCTTTTTGAAGTTAAAATTGTCTCCAAATCAAATAATTAACGTTTTCTGCATCCTCTTCCTGTTGTACTTGCAAATTAAAAACCCTGTCTTTGATTATTAAATTTATTGTAATGGATCCCAGTAAAAAAACTATAAATGGGAGCTGTTCTTGGTCAACTAATTTGCAAACAAAATTTGTTTGTTTGTTTTATTATTATTTTTTTTTAACAAAAGACTGAGTTTTTTTTATGCTTCTGTTGTTTCAATACAATATTGTTCTGTTTTGCAGTTTCATTGTTTCATTCTTAAACAATGCTCCTGACTCTGAAAGGGATAGTGCGGCTGTACAAGAGTTCCTTGCCAAAATGGAAGCAGCATTTCGGGCTCATCCTCTTTGGGCTGGCTGTTCAGAGGAAGAACTGGATAGTGCTGGTGAAGTGAGTTGCTGCTTTTCTCTTTTTACAATGTGAAATTGAGTTCCTTTTTGGGTGATTGATTGTGAGCAAAAATGTTTTTTACTAGTGTTGATGTTGTTTACCCTTTCTTTCAACAACAGGGGCTGGAGAAGTACGTTATGACAAAGCTATTTACCCGTGTATTTGCTTCACTCCCAGATTATGTAAAACATGATAACCAACTTTCTGAAAAGATGGCTTTGCTTCAGCAATTCATTCGGCCTGAGAATTTGGATATCAAGCCAAACCTTCAGACTGAAACTTCCTGGCTGGTAAGGAAAATGGTTTTCGTTTTGTTGCAACTGATTTTCATACTATGTGACGTGTAAAGGAACACCTAAAAATTTGAATGCATTTTATGTTTTGAGTGATGGTTGCTGCCTTATTTTTTCAGAGCAGTTTTTGTCATTGAAATGTATTCACATTCTAGATATGTTAGTGCGTGGACCTTACCATGATAGTTAAATCTGTTTTCTTACTCTGAGATATCAGTTATATTCTGGATCTTCACATCAATGTTGGCAGCTAGCACAGAAAGAGCTTCAAAAGATCAATATGTACAAGGCTCCTAGAGACAAGCTTATATGTATCCTCAATTGTTGCAAGATTATTAACAATATGTTGTACAATGCGACAATTGCTTCAAATGAGAATCCTCCTGGAGCAGATGAATTTCTTCCAGTCTTGATTTATGTTACCATAAAGGTAAGATTTATATTTCATACTGTTTTAGTTTCTTATTTGATAGTAATTTTACATTTTGTGCAGCATTTCTAGCACTCAGCTGGATGCTGAAGATCTCAATATTTTTTATTAATTAAATCCCTCTCCACTTATCTTCCTCTGCAAGTTGAAAGTTGTTAATATAGAAAAGTTATCTGGAGTGCTGTTAAAGTTACAAAAGAGATCATAGAAACTCCTTATTAAAATGATCAAGTATTGCAAATCATTAGGTTGTATTCTGCTTGTTGGAGGAAAATTTACTTTTATTGTTAACTAAGTTTGGTTACCTTTAAGCATGCCATTTGTGCTGTGTCATATATCATGTCTAACTGTGTCATCTATTAGGTAGTGAAAACCCCACTGCTCTGCATGATTTTCTATTTCATTGTATCAAATAAAATGGATACGTGCTACTTTGAAGCTTTTCTTATTTAGTTTTTTCAACTTTTCCAGTTACACATTATACACTCTTTATCTTTGTTAAATTGTAACTCAGTGTTTCAGAAAAGAATTGTCCTATACACTCTCCTTTATGGAAAAAGGCCTTGAAACAAAGTTATGGAGAGAGTGATTAGACTCACATATGATTTCCAAGTAGCAATTTCTATAGGCTACTTGGCTACTTGAAAGTCCAACCAAAGTTCCTTTTTGACTGTTTTTATTTTATTTTATTTTATTTTATTGTATTTTTATCAAGCCTATTTTGGAGGTTTGAATTGAGACTTGTTTGTTTTTACATTTTTAAAAGACTTACATTTCAGTTGAAAAAATTGTTTTGCATTGTCTCTTATAGGCTACTTGCTAGTCCAAGCACAGTTCCTTGAACTTTTTTTTTTTAATCTTAAAAAAAAAAAAATTCTTATTATCTACCCTAATTTAAGAGGTTCAAATGGAAACTGTTTATTTATTTTTTTTTAGAAGATTTGCATTTTAATTCCAACCAAACATCCTTCTAGTTACCGTAATTTCATTTCAGGTTTCAGCTAATAGCTTTTATGCTTCCATATTTTGAAAATAGTCTTGTATTTAAAAAATTGTTTTGTATGACCTTTAATAGGCAAATCCTCCTCAACTACACTCAAATCTGTTGTACATACAATGTTATAGACGTCAATCTCGATTGGTTGGAGAAGCAGCCTATTTTTTCACAAACATGCTCTCTGCTGAGTCTTTCATCTCAAACATTGATGCGCAAGTCCTTTCAATGGAGGAAGATGAGTTTGAAAGGAACATGGAATCTGCCCGTGCTCTCCTCGCTGGCCTTTCAACAGATTTGGATAGTTTGTCCAACCAACTTGACCAAATTGCAGATAATGCATCTGGGGAAGAATCCCAAAATCAATCATTGAACTCTGAGGAGGACGATGCATCCTTAGGTAAATCTTCGCAAACCAACCCTGGAAGTAAGGAGGTATCATATTCAAAAGACCAGTCATCAATTGCCAAAGTTCCAACACTCTCAGAGTTGGTGAATAGAGGGGCAGCTATGCTTTTGGAGGAGGATAAAATGAGCCAGCTCTTTTATGAGTATCCATTCATATTTGCCCATGCTGGAGATCTAACAATAAATAATGTGGAAGATCTGCTAAATAACTATAAACAACTTGTGTTCAAATACATCTGTCTTTCAAAAGGAATTGATGGTGCTACTCCATCTTTTCCTTTCTCAAGTTCAAGCACTCAAGCCCAGCAGCATGCTGACACTGTTGAAGAACATGAGGACAGTAGAGCAACAGAGCAGAACTTTGAGTCGCAGAAAGACATCGATATGGGATACGGTGGTTCTGATAAAGTGTCAAATGAAGAAAACGTGGAATCTATGAAGGATGAAGCAGTTTCGTCTGAGAAAGATAACAATGGCTTTGAATGACACCTTAGGGGAAAGATGTTTCTTTGTGGATGTTTGTTGGTATTCAAAGTTGGTTTAGTAATGAGCGTTTTTTCTTGGTCATTTCAACTTGGTGAATGGAATACCATTGTGCTGGTAAACATGTAGCAAGGAGAGACTATGTTGCTATCTGAGTTTTTTGTTCTCAAACAGAAAGCATGGAGGAGAAATCGAGGACAAAGCCAGGGGTTTTGACAACAGTTCATGATGGTCTTAGAATTCCCAAGAAGATGCAAATTCTATGCAACCAATTCTGCTCAACTCAGCAAAACCAAGGTCTAAACATCTGTAAGTCCAAGCTGCATCAAAGGACATGTTGTAGCATATATTTGATTGAAAGTCATAGCAGCATGGCACATTTCTGGATATCAGGGACATCATCGGAGGTGGCTTCTGTTATCTATGTTAGTTCCACTACTTTTTTTTTTTTTTGGTACATATAGTTCCATGACTTTGTCCCCATTCCCCACCTTCACCGTGGCAGAAACGACTTCTTTGTAACATTTTAAAAGTTTCAGGATCCAATTAATATTTACCAGCCGCCCTTCTTTTTTTATTTTATTTTTTTTCTGCTTTCAAGTTTTTAATTTTGATCATGATTGGCAGCCAA